CCGTTGAGTAATATATCTATATCTATCTATTTACATTTATCCGTATATATAATATACTTATAAAAGAGTTTTTGACCATTTTTTTATTTTTAAAATTAGAGTTTTAAATCATTTTTATTTCGAAATTCAAAGAATTCCTCCACCCTCGATGCCTAGAAATTCTTCCACTGTCCTAAAAATATCCATTTAGAAAGTTTAAAAAGGCTTTGTAAATCCGGTTTTTATATGATTTTATTAAAAGTAAACAGAATTTTCTATCATTTTTATTTTTAAATTTAGAGTTTTCTCTCATTTTTATTTTTTAAAATTTAAAATTAAAAGTTTTGTAAACAGGATTTTTATTTTGTCTAAAAAAACGTTCACCCACAAGTATTGCTCATATTGTGTAAATGGTAGAGTCCATTCCCAATGGGGCCATTCGAACACATGCACTTCCTCTTCGTAACTACTTAGGTTGACTAATAAGAATAACAATAGGGCCTTTCTGAAACTCTAAATTAATTTGCAGCGGCCTCGTTAGTGGAGTTAATGTCTTCGGTAAATTTTAAAATACCAAACTTTGATTATCTACATCTATTAATATAACTTCTAATAATTTTTGCCTTGTACAAAAAATATTCTAAATTAATTTCATAATAGCAACAACTTTAACAGTACCTCTCCAAAACTCTAACAAAAGTGGTAGATGACCACCTTATCCAAGTTGGATTAAAGGGATAACATGATCACAAGCCGTACATGAGACTCACTACATACAACATTCTGCACGCCATCTAACAATAAGTATTTGCAATTATCATTTTATCAACTTATTTTGATATGCATTCTGGGTCAATCTTTAATTTTTTTAAAAACAAATTTAATTGTTTTCACTTATATTGGAGGTAGGGATTTTCATCTTTCTTTTTCTTATTTTTCAATACATTAAAAGATTATAGATATAGAAAACTGAGTACTTGCATGCTTACAATGAATCATCAAAAACTTGATTAAATGAGTAGTGATACTTATACCGACCCAGTAATTTTTAATCAATTGTTTATTTAAAATACAATTAAGTGGAGGGTTTAACTTTCTTATTTATTGTATAATTGACCAATTCACTATAATTATTTGGTCCAAAATATATTAGTCCACCCAGAATATATTTATGAGTCCTCCATATATATAACTACTTCAATTTAAAATAAGGTGAAAATCATAATCCCCACCTCCCTATCGTTTACAAAAACGACATATAATCCCCTCAATTATTAAACAATTCCCTAAACAAACAAAAATTATCAAGTTGCCTCATTTCTGTAACAGAACTGTTAAGTTGTTATTAAATGAGAATAATACCCTTGATAGTATATTATTATTTTATTAAATTGAAATTGTTAATTTCAAATGACAATTATGCCCTTCTTGTGAAACTAATCAACGTGAACAGTGGGTGGTCTTGTTGGATCATGATTGTTAGTGGTTGTTTGACAAATTTTATGGGTCAGCTAATCCAGAGCATATGAGTATAAATCTAGCAAATATGTGCACACAGTTTTGAATTTGACTTGGCCTAGAATATTGGGTTTTTTAGAATTCAAACTGATGGAAATTAATTGTTGAATCTCTAAAAATGAAGTCAAATTTCATGACGCTCTCTCTCTCTCTCTCTCTCCACACATACTTGTACAGCATTATACTTGTTTACACACTTTTATCCTAAGCAGCATAATTATTTAGTGAAAATCTTAGGGTAGGTTTTTCTTAGCATCTTGACGGCTTGAAATTGTAAATAAATTAAACGACTTAAAAACTATGTTGTTGCCTTAATCTTCTGAATACTATGCTTCGTCATAATTAACAGTGGTAACTCGAAAAATTTAAATTCTCTTGTAAGAACGAGAGGGTAGTTGATAGTTATAGTTTTTCATCTTCCGAGAATCCGTGACACAGGTCGCGATCAGAAGGCGCCTATTCTTGTGGAATAGACCACCGGTGGAAAGTTGGCTCATATTTGATTTTTTGTTCTCTTATTCTTGGACGGAATAGGCCACTGGGATTGAACTGGGTTTCGCCGGGGTGGATTAAAGTTGCTTGAGACGTCGTCGGACTGAACTGGTTTTCACCAAGGAAGCTTGAGGCGTCGCCGAACTGAAGCAATTTGTTGGGTTTCGCCAAGGAGAGCTCACTAGTAAAGCTTGGCGATAGTGGAGCTAGTTTGGTCATTCACTGGAGCTCGCCGGTTTATTGTCGGATAAAGCATGCAAGTCACATTACTACCTGGTTTGGTCATCGTCACCGTTGTGGTTTCATGTAGAAAGAACCTTGAGGCTCACGAGATAGAATTGGATTTCGTCGGGGTGGGTCGAGGTTGCTTAAGACGTCGCCGGACTGAGCTGGGTTTTGCCAAAGAGGGCTTGAGGTGTCGCCAGACTAAAGCAATTTGGTCTTTGTTTCATCTAAAAAAGGAGTGCATTGGACTGAAGTAATCTCTGAAGTTTGGTTGAGGTTGTTTGTTTAGACTCACGTTTGGCCACCGCTGAAACACGCCGAAAAATATGGAGTTAAACTTTAGACTTAAATAGGGGTAGTTTAGTCATTAAGTGATTAAAAGGGTAGTATGATTAGATTCAAGTAAAATATTTTGCACGTGAAGTCAAAATCAAATTCATGGAGAAGGATTTCATATTTTCCTTTCTTAATTGAGTACAACAGCTGGGGGTTATTTCTGAATGGAAATCTCCATTGGTTCAATTAAGATATGAGTAAAATGACTTTTTAAATTACCCGATAAAATATTACCACTACTCTTTAGTAGTGGTTTGATTGCCCAGTAATGGGTTAACTTGGGCTATAATTCAGGCCCAATTGAAAAAAGAAAATTTAGTATTATTGTTCCTATAAGTTCATATATTACTCTTCCTCTTCCTATCAGTCCAGTCCAATTCATAGTATTTCTATAAATAAAAGGAGTTACAAAATTTATAAAGGCTAAGCCTTAAATATGAGTAAGTCCATGAACCATGAACATGCCAAATCACAAAATAAACCATAATAAAACATAACAAGGCCAACCCAATAAATCAAACGCATTGTTAGTTTATGGAAGAATACCTAAACTCTTCGTGTGTAAAACATTAAGATATAAGTGAATGGATATCATGGATTATTATTGTTAATCCAGTGAAATATTAATTTTTATTTTTGAAAAAAAAATAAAAAAAGGGTTGTGTTGATGACTTGATGATTTCTTGTTAAATTGGGTAATTTACTATATAATGGATTAATAATTAGTAAGGGGCGGAGCACATGGGTCTTTTTCTCTAATGTGAATTTGTTGATAAGGGACATATATATTTTGCATTATTGCAGGTGTTTGTTTTAATATTTGTATGAAGCAGACTTTAGGGGATTCTTGATTGGGAAAATACGTTTGAGTTTGAAAGTGTAAATGTGTTAGAAGGTTGTAAATTATTGGGTTTAATTGAATGACTGATGCATGAAAATTCTGTATTTAGAGTATGGCTGATACACTAAGCAATCACGGGTTTAATTATTTTTAGCCCCTCTATTTTGCAATCCTGGCTCCCCTTGCTTTTTGGTTGATGAAGGAATATGGCATGAGAGCGTCTTGGACTAAATTTGAGTTTCGCATCTCTTGTGGTACCGTGAAGCCTTTGGATTTCTCAAACAATGAAGAATATTTATTTGCAATTGGTAGCAGAGAGCTTGTCATGTGCTATCTAAAAGAGAAAGCACATAGGTGCGCGCAGTTTCACCATACTCCCCCTAATTTTGGGATCAATGGAATGAGGCAGTAACTTGTTTGGAGACCATTGTTTCACCCAAGTCTTACAATATGCTTTAGCAACGATATCAAAGCACTGGTGCTGAGGTGTGGGGCCGTCGACAGTATTTTTAAGTTTGTAGTCTAGGGTGGGTTCTAAAGGGACCCTAAATATATAATTTAAATGTGTGTATCCTATTTATATAATGTAGCGATATTGAGATTTTTTTTTTTTTTTATAAAAAAAAGTCATTTAGATCAATTCATAAGCTATATTTTTCTTAGTTAAAATGTATTTATATGTGACTGTTTAGGGGTATCATTGTGTATTGAATTCACATTCGTCCTCTAGTTCATTACAGCCCGTAAAATAAATTTATGTTTCAAGCATTTGGATTTTGGACACCGACCAAACTGTTTTTAATTTCTGCGTGCTTATATATTTATTTATATCTTCTATTGTATGGTGAAAATTTTCATTACTATTGGTGAACATAAACATCATCAAGTGGAGCGCAGAATAAGACCATGTTAACCATATTTAATTACTATAACTCGATCTAAAACTAAGCTTTTATTTGTAGTTATATGCAATATGCTCAAGAACGTACAAGAGGTACATAACACATGGTTGTTTTCGATCATTCTAAAAATATAAAATGATCGAAAACAATATGTACTTTCAATGTATAATATATATATATATATATATATCCTATTCACTTATTACTTAACGGAAAAAAGAAGAAAATATTATGATTAACTGCTTCTAATACCTTCGTGGTCTAAGTGGTAGGTTGCACAATGTTGTCTTTGGAAGCTCAGTTTGGAGCCTTTGCACCTTCTCTTAACGTTCTTGTCATACCACAAAAAAAAAAAAAAAAAAGCCTTATTTACTCCGTATTAACAACAATCAAAACAATTGTGAATTGTCCCTCAATTCATGAGTTTTAGGTGAAAAAATTAAAATAAAAAAATCACTAAATTTCAGACCTAATTCAAGTTAAAAAAGGAGGAGGACACCCCCTGATCCTAATACCATAAAGAATCCTTGTATTAATAGGAATAAGGAAGTTGGAAAGAAATATAGTAGTAACATTGTTACCATAAATCAGGATATCTTACGTATCAAAAACTATTTATTGGAAAAAAGAGAATCCAGAAGCTGTGTTTGGGTGTACGTAAAATTCATTCTCTTTGAAGAAGGCTAGGCTTGGCTAGTTGAGGAGGTATGGGTAGGAAGACGAAGAGGGAGAAGAAGGGAGAAGAGTTATCACCAATCCTCCCGCACGATCTCACAGTCGAAATACTATCAAGACTACCAGTGAAGTCTATTGTACTATTTAAGTGTGTATGCAAGTCTTGGCTCACCATGTTCGCAGATTCTCAATTTATCAAGCTTCACCTCACACGGTCTAACAACTCTAAACTCGTCCTCACACATTCGTTTAACTTTCTGGGATATCTTCCTCCTCCAAGTCTCTGTGTGTCGTCTTGCGGTGGCATGGTTGAAGACCAGGGGAGTACTAGGATTGACGTTGATGGAATTCATATCTTAAATGATGATCATATGTATGATAATGATGATGATGGTGATGGTTATGATTATGATTATGATGGTAATCATAAGAATACAGGGATGATGAGTATAGACGGATCTTGTCGTGGCTTGGTGTTATGCCATTTTACCGATTACCACACGTTATACTTGGTGAATCCGTCAACTGGAGAAGTGTTTAAATTGCCAGACTCACCATTTAAAAATTCTGCTGATGTTGCATCTTTTGGACTTGGCTATGATTCATCCCTTGATGACTACAAGGTTGTAGTAGTCTCATTATGTGAAAAAAAAAATCAGTTTATATTCACCAAGATCAAATTCATGGGGAAGGGTTTCAGAGTTTCCTTTTTCATGTGTGTTTAATTCAGCAATGTTTTTGAATGGCAAATTCCACTGGTTCGATGAAGATGGGAGTACAATTGTTTCTCTTAGTTTAGATGAGGAAAAATTCGGAGATGTTCCATTACGTCCTGGTTAGATTGAAATTCCTGAATTGGTTGGAATTTTCAAAGGATGTCTTTATCTCCTATTAGAAGCTAGCTCTGATGACTTCACCTTTTGGGTGATGAAGGAATACGGCAGGAAAGAGTCTTGGACTAAATACAAAGGAGTCGACTTCCCTAGAACCGAGTTTGTCCTCCCATACTCTACAGTTACCTTGATGCCTTTGGATTTCTCAAATGACGAAAATGAAATTTTATTTGCAATTGGTGATAGCCAGTTTATTGTGGGTGCGTATACATTTATTTATATCTTCTATTGTATGAAGAAAATTCATTCCACATCATCAAGGATGGAGTACAGCAGAATTAGAGAAACAAATTCAAACCGAGACTTGAACCTAAGACATTGTAAACCAAAATTCCGAAACCATACTAACATATTTACAAATATAACCAAGCTTTTATTTGTAATCATATACAATATGCTTAAGGCTCACTATCACCATAAAGAAATTATTACGACGAGTTTATATTCACTAAAATCAAAATCCTGGAGCAGGATTTCAGATTTTCGTTTCTTAATTCTGTTCGTTTCAGAAGTGTTTTTGAATGGTAATTTCCACTGGTTTAATGAAGATATGTCTAAAATGGCATCTCTTAGTTTAGCTGAGGAAAAATTTGGGAATGTTCTATTACCTGAAATTATAATATTTTATCATCACAATTTAATCAGTCTATTGGGATTGTCAAAGGATGTCATGGCATCACCTTTTGGATGATTAGTCTATTGGGATTGTCAAATAAATATAGTGTTTATAAATTTGAACGGATCAGACCAGTTTTTTTTCTTCTAATTCATAGTTTGTAAATTACGACTTCATTATTTATTAATTTGTGATCCAACCACGAGATTAAAAAATCAACTCAATCCACAGGAATTAAATTTAGATTAAATTGATTTCACGGATTTGGGACCAAATGAACATCCCTACGTTTTATATCACAGGTTAAACATCCACTGCCTTTGCAACATGCCAAGTTGTAGTGCTAATTTTGTACAATAGCATATAACATAAGTAAAGATTACTCTTTTTATTTTTATTTACACGTGGGAATGAATAGATAAAACACCCCAATTGTGAATGGCGGTGAAGTAGTATTATTATTATCGTTTTACCAAACTAATAATTGCGGAAAGTTTTATTTATTTATTTATTTATTTAGAACCGTGACAATTATTAGATAAACTACGCTTTTACAATTAAAATAATTAAATATATATATTGTATATTAAAATATATATATAAATTAAAATTAAAATTAAAATTAAAATTCGCTTAGGTTGATGTCAATTGAGTTTGTGGTTTGAAATTAAAATTAGTTTTTTTTTTTTTGTTTGGAATACTTTATTTTAGAGTTCTGATTTATTTGGTGACTCTTTATAGTTGGAATCCATGTAGGAAATGAAATTCGAAAATTTTATAAATAGAGAAATAGAGAAAGAAATAGATAATTGTAAAGGAAGGAAAAGTGAGTTGAATTTGGGAGAGAAAAGACGGGTGAGTTGCAGATACTTGTTCTTTGAAATACATAAATCTGGATATCTCGATTTGCTAATTTTTTCAAAGTAGTGAGTGGGTAATTCAGTCATTCCGTCAAAAACAAGATTATCCGGAGTAAAACAACGCCGTCGTACAAAGGAAACCGTTAATCTAATCCGCCGGCGGCCCATCATCGTCGTCGTCCTCATTAGACTCGTAACCCCCATCTAACCCACTCTGTATAACACCCATCCCTGCCTCCATTTTCTTACTCCAAACCATTGCATTTCATTCCAACCTAAACCAAACCCTAAACCCATACTTAATAAAACTCCAAACAACCACAAATGGGTGAGGTTAGTCCCTGATCACAAGTTTCCCAACTCTTACATTTCATTAAATTTTCATCACAATTTCAGGTACAATTAGTCGCTAAATGTTTCTTTAATTTTATTTCTGTTCCAGAAAGATGCCCCAAAACGTGATAGAGAGAAGAAGGCCGACGCCGGCACCACCGTCGTCTTGAAGATTGGCATGCATTGTGAAGGCTGTGCCAAGAAAATCAAACGATCAGTTCGTCATTTTGAGGGTAACAATTTTTATATATTTGTATCAATTTATACACAAGGACACAGTATACTATATATATATATATATATAAATGATCATCTAAATTTTTATCAATCAAGAAATTAAATCTGATTTTCAGTTATAAATGTGAAGAATGACAATCCCATTTCTTCACAAGCTTTTCTGAATTTGATGCTCAAATATTTCCTAGTAGTTTTGATAAATTCAATTTTCTGAAATTTTGCTTGGTGGATCAATTCAGGTGTTGAGAGCGTGAAGGCGGACATTGAGGGCAATAAACTGACGGTGACGGGGAAGGTGGACCCGGCCAAACTTAGAGATAGAGTGGCAGAGAAGACCAAAAGGAAGGTGGAAATCGTCTCTCCTCGGCCCAAAAAGGATGCCGCCGTTGCTGGTGGCGGTGGAGATAAGAAGCCCGAGGAAAAAACGGAGAAAAAATCTGACGACAAGAAGCCGGCGGACGATAAGAACCCGAAAGTGGTAACCTTCTAATCTGCGCCCGTGTGTCTGTTGTCATGCTCATGGCTAACATGCGCTATATGAGCCCGAGCCGTGTGGGGTTTGCAGACAGGATTCTGTCTAAACTGCGCTGGCGCATACAACGCATGTTAGCCAGTCTGAAGTATGATTTTTGTGTAATATTTTCTGTTACTATAGTACTCCCTCTGTCCCTTTTTAATTATCCGCTTACGTGAGTCACAGTTTATGAGACAGGCAATTAAAAATGAACAGAGGTAGTATTAATTTGAGCCACAAATTTGTATTACTTGTTAGTTGATGCTTATAGATTAATTTAGTTTAGTTATGAAATTTTCAACCAATTTTGTTTTATTAATTAATTATTTATTTATTTGTGGCGGTTGTATAGGCTCTCACAAGTACGGTCACTCTGAAGATTCGGTTGCATTGTGCCAAATGCACGGATAAAATAAAACGAATCATATCGAAGATCAAAGGTAAAAATTCCCAACCTTTATTTAATTTAATCAACTATGCTACATGCATATGTAATCATCTTATTTAATTGATATTAATAATAATTATCATTATTATAATGTTAATTTAATGGTTTAGTTAAGGTCAATTCCTCCGTCACATTTTAATTTGAAATAATGCATCATTAATTCTGACCTACAACACTAGTGTGGCAACTTGGTCATGTACGATAGAATTGTCGGGTCAAATATTATTGTTTTTTCATAATAGACGTCTTTTTACATTTTTTTTTTTTTTAACAAATAATTCACACTCGTCTTCATATGTGGTGATTAATGGTGATTAAATGGTACCATGGATCAGGTGTAGAGTCCGTGATCGCAGAAGGCAAGAAGGAAAAAGAAGGCGGTGGTGACAAAAAAGAGAAAAAAAACGGTGGGGGTGCAAAGAAAGAAGGCGAGGCGAAGGCTGCCGGTGGTGGTGGTGATGATGCGAGCAAGAAGGAGGAGCCCAAGGTTGAGGTGAACAAAATAGAGTACCATGGGTACCACCCTCAGTACTCTTATTATGGTGCACCTGCACCTGCATATAATCATGGTTACATTAATGAGGGTTATGGCGATCTTGTACCCCAATTTAATCAAGGCTATATCAATCAGGGTTACGTCATGGAATATACCTCACACCCGACTCATGTTGTGGACTATCCATCAACATACCCGTCTCCGTATCCGACTTACGTAATGAAATATCCCTCATACCCGCCTCCATACCGGACTCATGTTGTGGACTATCCACCATCATACCCGCCTCCGTACCCGACTTACGTAATGAAATATCCCTCATACCCGCTTCCATACCCAACTCATGTTGTGGACTATCCACCATCATACCCGCCTCTGTACCCGACTCATGCCCCTCAAATGTTCAGTGACGAGAATCCTAATGCATGTTATGTGATGTAATTCTATCCAAGTGGTGATCAGGAGGTCAATATTGTAAAAGACTACGCTACATGGGCCGAGGACTTCCTCGATGTAAATGGTCCTACCCGGGACTTTGGCTGAAGTCCCGTTAAAGAATCATTTTACACGTGTAAATAATAAAGCATATATGGAGGAAGCAATTAATTAAGTACAAGTACTATGTACATACAAAATTCGAATATATACAAGAATATATGTAGACGAGGTCCATGAGGACATTTGAAATGTCACTTGTTTGTTTCTAACTTTGGTGATTATAAATTTAATTCAATTTTGTGGTATTTATTCAATATTTCCAAATTATTATTATTATTTTTTTCACAAGATTTCCAAATCAAGATGGTGAATAATGTTGCAGCCTAGTGTTGGCACCACATGGTGTGTTTCTTTATTATGTGGTCCCTTTTAATTTTTGCCTTATTGTTTTAGTATATAAGATTTAGTTCTGGTACCGTCTCATTTGAATGTGGTAGTAGTGGAGTTAGCACCATCATGTTAACCCTTGTGATTGTACTATTTCTCAAATTAATGTCACACAGGTTGTTTTTTCTTTTTTTAAGGAATTATGTATATATGTCAATAGGCTAACGTGTGTGTGACCTAACTTGCGTCGATGGCATAATGGGATAGTCCAATGTAGTTTGTGGGCTTAAAATTAGGATTAATTACATTGACATTTCCTTAAATTTGATCAAATATTATACGGAAATATCTTTTTGAAATAATTTTTATTCATATTATAAATGTTTTTCGATCACATCTCAAAAATTACTTTGCCGATGTATCAAACTACTTTTTACATTGTAAAAAAAAAATATTGTTCCCGTTTGACTTTGGTTTGACAGAGTGAAGTGTTATTTGATAATAAAAATGTCATTTCTGCCCTTCATTGTTCCATATGTGATACTGCTTGACATCATGCACATTTCATATTTTTACAACTACATGCTTCATCCTAATACATAATATATTAAGCACAAGCACAGAAAGCCACATGTTTCATCATAATACATAATATATTTAATTTGGAGAACTTTTTCTAATATTATACATATATATAATACTTAAAATTTATATATAATTTATTTAATGTTAAAATATATTTAATATTCACATGCATTTTTGTTTAATGTTAATATTATTATTTAAGTAAATGAATAAATTTGAATTTAAATCTATAATTAAATTTAAAAACATGAAGTTGAATATTATAATTAAAAAAATTGTTAACATATATATTTAAATATATATATTTAAAAATAAAAATAAAATTTATTTAATGTTAACATTATCTGATGCAATTCATGTTTGAATACCACATCATCAACAGAGAACAAAAAAAGTCACTTGAAAATATTCAAGTAAGAACTAACAAATCTGAGTTAAATCAAGTAAGAAATATTATTTTATATGGCATGAACAGAACAAAGTAAAACAAATTAAATTATATTTATCAAAAAAAGAGTAAACTAAATTATTGAATTAGTAACGTATTATACATCGAGCTCATGATCATGAATGATATCAATTTCATCAATTAATTAAGGAATAATGTAAATATGATTTATTGAGTATATAGATACCAGGTGTACTAGCTACTCTTTGTTTTTTTTTTTTTTGGTTAGTAAGAAACCCATTTTATCATGAAGTGAAGGTATCAAAAGAAGAAGATGGACCATGGGTGATAAGAATTTTTCTTAAAAATATATATCTTTGATTCGTGAATTAGCTTGCTATGAGATTATTACATTTGTAAATGTATATAAATGAAACCTTGTTTTTTTTAGAGGGGAGAGAGAGAAGGGAAATGGAAAAGGCGAGGCCCCATCTAGCAGCCCCCCTTGGGCAGATTGTTAAGAGAGAGGGGGTGAGTGCAGTTGGTAGGAGTAATAAAGAGGGCTAAATTGGTCATTTAAGTTATAAGATATTTCGGAATAAATGAAATTAAAAAATTAGGGATGAAGTTGTTTTTCTGTACGTTTTTAACTGTGTCAGTGACGAAAAAATAAAATTGTACACAAGTGAAAGCTATTTTCGAAACATACTTCAGTGTGATATTTGGTCAAAAGATATTTCTGTAATATTTGGCCAAAATTAGTGGGATTGAACTCAACGCACTCCTCTCTCTTATATATATATATTCAAATTTATATATAGAGGTAATAATATTCTTATAATTTTTTTTAAAATGATTCTTACACCTATTAATTACAATAAATTATTAAATATATTATTTTAATTGTCCAATTATACAACAAATAAGGAAGTGGAATCCTTCATTTAGTTATTTGGTATAAATAACCAATTAAAAAATAAGTCACTGCAAGTGTTCGGTGCAAGTGTTCGGTGTGAGTATCATGTAAGTAGAATTTATATAAATTTTTATTGTTATTATTTCAACTTAGTACATGCATTGGTGTCTTTTAAATCCACTGTTATGCCCACTATTAAATCTCTATATTGGTTGATGTATAATAATAGAAGGAAATGATTTTTGTCATAAAAATATAATATATAAGAAAATAAAAATTTGGAGCTTTCCTATTGGTTGAAAATAAAATTTGAAGCCTTCCTATCGGTTTGGGGACTGTTTAGTGGCTAACACTTTGTTTGGAACCAATTTTTTTGGGATTTAAAATTAGAATGGAAAAGGAATTACAATATAATTAAAAAAATAAAAAATTGTACCATTTGTAACCGATGGACGCGTGTATAATAATAATGCCTATATGCATCAACTGGCCAATTGACCAAACCTAGAAGAAAAAAACAGAAAAAAAAGGAAAAAGAAAAACCACAAAACATTCCGCCATTAATAGAGTAATTACATAAAACTAATAGATAGGAAATATCCAAAGTTGGAGTAAAATACAATTTCAAATAAAAAAGCAAAGACTGGTCCGTTGTAGTCTGTAGATAATGAGAATTGGAGAAAAGAACCATGAAAAGATGAGGGTTTTTTTAGATACATAAAAATTTTTTTTAAAAAAAAAAAAAAAAAAAATGTGTAAGTTTTCAAATTCCCTCAAATCCTTGAATCCTTCCGGTCCAAACATATGAAATTTCTTTCCAAATTTAATTCCAACGAAATCCTCCCATTCCAAAAACGGCGTAAGAAAATCTTTTTATTAAAACCAAGTTTATTAAATAAGGAATGGTTGGATCCGTAATGTGTTGATTCATACTAATGAGACCAAGAAGAAATTTAATACTGTACACTTGTAGACACAGAGCTGCTTAGTTGAGCCGGGGAGGGAGAAAGTTGGGTTGGTCCAATCCATGCGTGTGTTGACCAAGTGGGCCCAAGCCCACATACTTTTAGTGAAGCAAAACAGAAGACAGTCAAGCAAGGGTTTTGTATCATCATCAGGTCGGCGCTAGAGAGAGAAACTGAAGCAAGCAGCACAAAATGGTGTTGGGAGGAGAGAGAAAGGTAGACCGGTAGATCGGACGCTGACCGTTGCTTCAATCTGGTGGTTATTCCCGGCGACGAACTCTAGACATCTACTAGTTGAGGAGGTATGGCTAAGAAGACGAAGAGGGTGAAGCGAGACGAGTTATCACCAACCCTCCCGAACGAGGTCATGGTCGAAATACTATCAAGACTACCTGTGAAGTCTATTGTACGATTTACGTTGTATCCAAGTTTTGGCTCACCATGTTCGCAGATTGTCACTTTGTCAAGCTTCAACTCACACGCTCCAACAACTATAAACTCGTCCTCACACATTCGTTTAACGTTGTTAAGGGAATTTTATTAAGGGTTGACATAGTATAGATAACCGAATATGTTTTATAAATAACTTTAAAAAATTAAATTATAATTTATGCGCCTGTCTATTCTCATAACTGACGACAATGATTTTTGATTTGAAAGCTCGGATGGGCCGATTAAAATAACTTGCTCGCACCTTCTTTGGAATGTGCTTTTGATTAAGCAAAGTTACAAAGTAGTTATGATTTTAATTAATTAATGGAATAACCTAGGTTGTTAAGGCGGTAGTTGTTAACTAAACAAAAAAAACTAGCCTCAACGTTCAAGTAAAAATAAAAAATAGAAAAAGGAAAAAAAAACAAAAAAACAAAAAATTGGTTTTGTTATTGTTGTAATATATATATATATATATATATATATATGCACTTTTCAGGTTGGAATGCAAATTGATGGCCTCCAATACAAGTCTTCTCACTGGCCTCAAGACATACGAGAAACCCCATGATTGATTTAAGCACAAATTTCGGTTTTGATATAAATTGATAATGAAGCTTTTTAATTTAGTGGATGATCAAGTAATGTTATAGAGAACGACTAAATAGGGTAATCAGAGTAGAGTTTTCAGATTAAATAGGGTAGATTTCTCAAACCAATTCAACAATAACCATTGAACGCATTTACGGGACTTCACACAATTGTTGTAGTTGAAAAAGTCTAGAAAATAAATTTTATTTATTCATTTCAAAATATTTTTTTCCCACTCAATAATATGCGCTTTTTGAAACATTGAACTTAAAAGAAGAAATTAAGAAAATAAAAATGAAATTTGTAAATTTGATCGACTTTCTGTGTATAATTTGAATAGATTTTCACCAAGAAATAATGCATGGTTAACTTCATATTGGATAATATAATGCCTAGTCCGTGTTATGATAACTTTGCTTTTAGCTCATGTTAATCTGAAAATTTTTACTGGCACCAACAATAGGCAAAATAAATAACCCTAATCTTACACGACTTCACACAATTCTTCGGGTTTGATATTGTTGCTAAAGCAGATTGTAAGACTTGGGTGAAACAATGGTCTCCAAACAAGTTACTGCTTCATCCCATTGATCCCAAAATAGGGGAACACTGTAAAACTCCACACGCCTATGTGTTTTCTGTCTTAGATTGCACATAACAAGCTCTGTACGACCAATTGCAAATAAGTCTACATCACCATCATCGTTTGGGAAATCCAGAGGCTTCATGGTATCACAAG